CAGGCAGCAACACAGCCCGGCGCGTCGAGCCCGAGGAGCCGCTCGGGATCGGGAGACGTGGCTGGGATCGGGATTGGGAGACGCCAAGGCCCATGTGGACGGATCCCAGGGCCCGGGCACCACGGCACGCGGGAGCTCCCGCGGGCACCACAAGCCACGCGGGAGCTTCCCAATGATCTCGCCCAAACTGAAAACGAAAACAAAAATACCCCAAAACTCCAAAGGCTGCCGTGAGGTTTATGCATCCCTGCAGGAATTGCCCCGTCATCCCCGGAGCAAGCGAAGGGGCAATGCCGAGCACTCGTGAGAAGGCAGCAGGTCACATTCAGTCACGTTACAGAAAGCACTGGAGGCAGGTCAGGTCCAGGGACCTTCATCGGGGACAGAAACACGCACAGCAAAAGCAAAATGCAAACTCTGCACACTGCCAGAATCTACAGTTGCCCTCTCCAAATATTACCGTCACAKCAGAAAAAAATACATATACATATAGACAGGAATTTAAACATTAGCTATGCAAGCCCAAGCTGGTGGGGAGCGACTAGCAAGGAGAGACGGAGGCAACGCGGTAATGCCTCGTGCTGCCCTGTGTCCTTCTCACACACAGCGCCTACCAACAAATCGCTCCACAAATGCTCAGAAACGCCACGGATTAGCTCAAAACAATCCCGGGCTTCGCTGTGTTTAATTTGCTTGGATTATAAAAGATAACTTCTAACAGTATGTTCACGTGACCAAAAAAAAACCCAACACCGAAACGGAAAGCACACGACGAAAGCGAGTCCCTAATTTCCAGAAGCTGTGTGGGATTTCCATGGAGTTTAAAGTCGCCTTTGAAAGCCGTATTTATTGGCAGGACCTCCAGCTACTTGTTTTGATCAAGTGCAATGCAATCTGATTTTTTTCTTCAAGTCAAGCGCCAGCATCACGCGCTCCCGGAGCGCTTCCGCGCGCACGTCCCATGGACKTCCTTGGGACCTGCACATGAGCACGGAGGGAAGCAGCAAACCCTAAAGAACCCTAAATCATAAAGGCAACACATTGGGTAAAGCTGCTTTTCTCACATCCAACCCAAACRCCTGCGAGCAGCACCCTGAAATACCAACCCACGCGCTAGGGCTGAGCCGCGGAGCGCGAGGCCACCGCGTCGCGACTCGCTCGCGACTTCCCAGGCCACTCGGAAACTCCAAACACGACCACGGGCTGGGAAAGGGAGGCAAAAACTAARGAATTTAAGTTACGCTCCACAGCAAAGGTGGCGGTTTTGAAAAACTTCACACGAAGGCGGGCGTGCTCAGGCCACCGAGGCAGCGCGGCAAGTGTCACGCGCGGACGGACCGATTTGGGTTCTGGCAAGATGGGAAAAAAAATCAGCCAAGATTCTTAAATTCGAAACCATAGTTTAAAGAAAATGCATTTGGTTATTTAACGGTATATTTGGTTGTCTAAAGAAARTCATATCAAAGAAAGCCTTATTTTACTAGTACGATTACAGTCACCGTGCTGCCGAGGAGAGCGAGTCCTGAACACATCAACACGTTCTGTCTTTACATTAAATGGGCTGCTAAAGTCAGGCATGGTAACAGCTTCGAAATGTTACGGCAGGAAAAAAAGAAAGAAAAAAAGAAAAAAAAAAGGGGATTCCCTGGCTCAAGAGGGCATAAAGTCAAAAGAAGGAATTTTAATTTTGAGTTTTTAAAATGTTTTTCTGCTTGGCTCGCAGCAGAGTCCAACTTCGTCATAACTCTTACTATACATATACAGAGCTCTACTGTGCACTCTATGCAACACAGCTATTCTGATGCCTGTTCCTCCAACCAGAGCACATGTGTATATATATTTGTGCATAAAGCAGCAATATTCCTAGCTTCCTTTCCTTTTTTCTTGAAACCAGGCATAGTTCGAAAATACCTATGAAGAAGATCCCAAACAAAACAGTGTTTCTCAGTCATTCCTTTCCCCTGTGGCACTATGCTTGTATTGTTTGCAATTAATATATTTGAAATATTGGGGAAGTTACTCTAGTCCTAATGTGTCGATGTCCTAAGCAAGACACCAGCCYTCAGCTATGCTGAATATTGGCTTCTGGTTTATGATTATTTTCCCTTTAGAAAGAACGCTGCACTCTGTGTCATTTTTTCCATTTGTAAGAAAAGCTGCTGTCTATCAGCATTTTGTTTAGAGAAGCTCTGTAGCTGTGTACATTAAAAATCTGCTGCAGCGTAAATACGACGGTTGCTTTATTATATACGTGTACATGTGTGTGTGTGTATATATATATAATATACTATAATCCAAGAAGGACCATCTAAAATGCCACAGTTGAAAACATTTAAGAGTGTAACAAAAACGACTGAGACCCTAGTATCAGTTTACTATCCTTCAACAATTTCCCTGACAGAGGAGTCAAATAATGTTGAATTATGGACCTTCTTACAGGAAGTCTTATTTCATGTTCATTTTTTGATCATTTCCCCCCTAGTCCCTATAGGAATTTGGCCGATTGMCGGTTTTCCTTGAAAAGTTTCGGCGCACATAACAGCCCGGCGTGTGATTAAATCAGAATTTGGTCAAGTACAACTACCGCGAGCTGGTCCGGAAAGTTTATTTCACATAAGGAAATACGGTCGCCTCAATAAAAGGCTGCCGCACGCTACCAGGGCACTTTATTTGATGCGTGCAGGCTATTTTATACGGCGCTTTCTTTAAAAGGGCTTTTTAGAGGCTGCCCGTGTACRCGTTACGGGAGGGTAAGTGCCATCATCTTTTACAGTTGAGTCTAGAGCACCTGGGAGTGAAGGTGAAGCCACTTCAACGCAAGGAGCCCCATGGCGATCGCTCAGCGCAGCCGCCTGCCCCGAAACCAGGTTCCCTTTATTCCTTCTCCTTTATTCCTTCTCCTTTATTTTTCTCTCCCTTTCTAGGGCAGAGTTTCCCTGCCACCAGCACGCAACAGCTGTGTTGTAGATCCTTCCACCACGGCAAACATTTAAAAAAAAAAAAAAAAAAGCATGTAAATGTTTGCAAAAAAAAATGCTAATGATTAAAAAATAATCATAATTTTAAAAAATAAAGACTTGTTTTGAAAGTCTGCTGACAGGGCCCATAATTTGGCAGTGTCTTTATGGTGTCGGGCCCCTCCAGTTGGATGACTCCAASGGCAGGCCCTAGGGCCGCCCGTTGGTGGCGGGTGCCCCCCAGCCACAGAGGGTCAGTCTGGGGCAGAATGATGCTATTTTGGTGACCCCCTGCTCGACGCCGAACAACGGCCGGAGAATGGGGCTTGGCCCCCACATCACCACGCACTAGGGGCACTGCTGGTCCGCGCGGGGGACATAAAGGTGCTGGCGTGGCCTAAGTGGAAAGGATAAATAAGGGGAAATCAATAAATTAAAAATAAAAAACCAAAAAGAGAAAAAAAAGAAACAACAAAAAAGTTAACTGTAACCTTTCCTGCCACAATTCAAGAAAACGCAATTACAGCCACAATAAAAACTTTACATACTTGCTGGTTTATTACTCTGCGAAGCGCAGGCGCGCGGGGCTGAGAGCCCCGYGAGCCCCGCGCGCGCGGAGCAGYCCCCGCGCGCGGCCGCGCTCGTTAGCCGCGCGGCTGACAACCACTCAGCACCTTGTTATTTATCCAGCGGGGCGCAGATAGCGCCGCCCGCGCAGCGGCCGCGGCCGAGCCGCCCCGGGCAGCGCGCAAACACCGCGCAAGCACCGCCGAGCCGCGGCGCAGCGCGGGTCCTGCCCGGGGCGCATCCTGCGCGGGAGCGCAGCGCAGTTTTGCGCCTTCGCAACGGGCGCAGAGCGCAGCCCGCGATGCGCACGGCGGCGCGCACCGGCCGCGCTGCCTCCGCGGGGGGCACCCCCGGGCCCCCGACAGCCCCCGAAGTGGCGCTTCATTTCTTTAGCTTTCGCTTTAATAAAATAATGATTCGTCGGGAAAAAAAATGGGGTATAAATCTTCATTTTGGAGGCAATTAAAGTGTTGATTTCATTCGTGCCCCTGAGCGATTCTTGTAATTTGCGCAAATAGCTTTATGTGCGCGGCGCCGCGGAGCTCTTAGAAACCCATTTGCGAGCGGGACTTGTCGGGGGACGGAGTTTGGGGCGGCGCTGCGCGCTGGAGCGCAGCCCGCGCAGCCCCGCGCAGCCCCGCGCAGCCCCGCGCAGCCCCGCGCGCTCCCGCTGCCGACCGCGCTGCGCGCACGGGAGGAAAGGCGCGGAGCGACCGCGCAAGAACCGCGCTCCAAGCGCCGCGCTCCGCACACCCAAGCGCGCAGCGAGGGATCAATCCCGACCCGCGATGCCACCGCGCAGCCCCTCTGCGCTCCCCCGCGCAGCCCCGCGGGCCTCCAAACTTGCAAGGTCCGGGCAAATCCTTCCAAACCGGGGTCTCTATTTATTCCTTTTTTTTTTTTTTTTTTTTTTTTTTCCTCCCCCTCCTATTAAGCAAAATAAAATGGGCGCGCTTGCAGCAGGAGGCGCGCACAAAGCAATGCTCACTGGAGTCTAAACGCGCTCGGCCAAGGAAAACTGACAAGACGGGCTAATGAAGCGTAGAGACGGGGAGAAAATAGCCAGTATTTGCTAGATTTCAAACCCTCTCTGTCTTCCCCGGACCACCTATCTCGGATTTTATTATTATTTTTTTTCCCCCCTGTAAACGGCTCGAGCCATCCCTTTTTCTAAGCCACCAGCGGCCAGCGATTCCCGGATAACGCTCCTATTATTGGGAAGGGTAAATAAAATAAAGACAAAAATTAAAAGCGACAAGAAACAGGTCGAGTATGCAGGCGACGCTTTTACAAGCTCATCTCGCCAGGTCGAATCCGGGAGCAAGCCTTAATGAAGCAATAATAGCCACATTATTCAAAAATTTTCATTTCGATGGAAATTTATCTAAAAGGGACTTAATCATATGCAAATAATAAAAGGAGGCGTAGTGACCCGGCGAGCGCTCTGCATACAAATTTCGGGCGGCGAGATCGTACCTGATCTGTTAGATTCGCTGATCTTGTTATGTCTTCGCTGTCCGATTTTGATCCGCCCTCTCTATCGTCTATGACCAAATCGATAGGCATTTTTCCTTTCAAACAGCTAATATACCGGTGGCAGAAATTGTCACATAATTCGTGTACCTGTATTATGACAGAGGTTTAAAAAAAAAAGGGGGGGGGGTGGAGGGGTGGAAAAAAAAAAAGAAAACGAGGGAAAAGTGGGAAGAAAAAATAATCAGGAATACAAAAGTAAAATTGACAAGTGCAACCAGTCTCCCCCCTTCACCCTGGTGACATCAAAAGTTTTAAGCAGGGGAAACACACTGCAATTATCCCCTCGAGACCTCGAGACGCATCCAGAATTAGGAATAACTTTCTTTTCTCGCAAAATAGAGATATCCCAGAAAATTGACAGTGACAAGATGATTCACAGGCTACAACATATTCAACACCCGTGTTAAATTCATCTGCTCCTGGAGCTGTGGCCATTAGAGAGGTGACCTGCATGGGTGACATTTAAGGTAAACTATTTAATTTCATCCAGTTATTTCATCATAAACCCTTTCCGAGGGGGTATGAGGACAGAAAAACGGATTTAGAGGGGAAAAAATAATCGTGATGCACTGCGCTCAAATACATTATAGGCATCGGAGCCCTGAGATGCCCGCGAAGGGCTCGTACCTGAGCTGCCTCTTTTAATGGGCCGATTTTACCACTTCTCATGTAGGGCGAGAGCAACCTGCCAGTTCTGGTTAGATAAAGTGGCCTGGGCTCCCGAGAAACTTTTCAGCTATTTAAAAACCTCTCAAAATGTTTATTTTTAGGAGAAAGGGAATTCTCTCGCAGGCCTGCTATCAATGACATGTAAAAAATCCTTCGGAAACCGGAGCGCGCTCCCGATTTAACGTTAGCTCGGGTGACACGGCATTATTATAAATTAGCATTCTAATTGCTGGGATTTAAAAAAAAAAAAAAAACGAGCAAAAAGGAAAAAAAAAATCTAAACCAGAAACCCTGCATTTATTTAGCCCGGCAATCTCTTTCTTCTGCTCGGAGGTGTACAATATTCCCAGGAACAAGACACTGACACAACTATCAACTCTGCTTTGTCTCTGCAAAATGTTACAGGACAATCCGTCCCCTGAGCATGAACTGCAGATGGCTGTTAAAAAAAAAAAAAAAAAAAAAAAAAAAGAGGGAGAGAGGGGAAAAAAAACCCTTCCCAACTCTCTGCAACCCAACAAAGTAGCTCCCCCACCACCAGCAAGAAGCAACGACAATAAAAAAAAAATCCCGATTTTGGGGGCTTGGCTGGAACAAGAAACCCCCACGGTTTGGAGGCTCCTCCGCGGCACCCGGAGCTGCAAGTATTTATCCAAAGGCAGCGGAGTCTTACAATGCACACAAGGCCCGGGCGTTGGAGAGCCCGCTTTTAGAGGCTGAAATTGTAATTAAACTGCGAAGAGAAATGGACGCCAAGATTGGCCTTGACACTAATTACCAGAAAGAAAGACATTTATGCAAATTTTACCGGGAGCCTGAACTTCAGCAGTGCTGAAACGAAGGAGGGAGAAAGGGAGAGACACAAAAATTACCTTCTCTAATTCCAACAGATGAAACCTTAATACTTGTATGGCTTGAATCATCTGCAAAGACACAAACAACACGAGCATTTATCTCATTCCTGCGTTTCTGGGCATTTCCCACAGCCGCCTCTGCCGCACATTGGAGCTCGACTATTCTTTAGTAGTAAATAAAAAGTTGTTTTGATTTATGGCAATAACACTAAAACTTAATAGTGGCGGCTTTGTGCGCTGTTTAACAAGAAGCGATCTAGAGTTAACAAAAAAAAAAAAAAAAAATCCCTACTGCAATGAAGCATCTAAATTATACGGATCATAAACATTTCTTTAAAAAAACGACTCTAAAGCAACATCGAGTTTGCAAAAGCGGCAGAAATCCTGCTGCAGCCGACGCAAAACATTTGTTTATCCTTAAGGGAAGAAAAAAAAAAAAAAAAGAGGGGAAGAAAATATGAACTGCYTTATTTTTTTGCAGGGGGGGCGGGTTAGCGAAATGCTGCTGCGATATTTGGAGAGCGAAGCCCTCGCGCTGCACCGAGCTGCTCGGCAGCCCTCGCCGGCACCGACATTTTCGCCGATAAATCCCCGCTTTTCTGGAGCAGCGAGGCGGGCGCGGGGCCGCCCTTGCGCGGAGCCCCCGCGCTCCATTGCCCGCAATTAAAAATAACAACAACAACATCAAAACACGTGAGGCATATACATATATATTTCAATTTAACCTCGCAAAACGGTTGTCAAAGCCCGCAGCCACCTCTCCAGAAAGACATACACTTATTATTACTTATTATTATTATTATTATTATTATTATTATTATTATTATTAAAATAATGGGATGGGAAGGGAGGGTGGCAGGGTGGGGGTGGGGAGAGGAAGAAGTGTTTTTAACTCTTACCAAGTTATCCAGTTCGGGATTAGAAGAAAATAGGGGTTTTTCTGCTCGTATCTAAATATAAGAAAGAGGAGGAGAAAAAAAAAATAAAAGAGATTTGAAATATGGAAGCAGGAAAAAAGCAGACGTTATTACTTCTTGCTTCATTACACTGTCGGGTCCATTATGTAACCTTTCGTGCAAAGCTCTCGCCGCTGCATTTAGTGCATCCGAAAGAGCCCAGCGCGCGGAGCGGGGACCCGCGCGGAGCCGCCGCGGCCGCGGAGCCGCCCGAGGGGCAGCGAGAGCGGCGGCTCCTTCCCTTCTTTTCTTTTTTAGGGGGTGAGAAACGCCGTGATTTCACTGTATTTTTTTTTAGATATTGTTCTTTCGGGGGCCTCTCTTGCAATAAGAGGCGAGGGGAGGAGAAAACGGGCATCTTTATCTCAACTGAGATTTTTTTCCCCCTTGTTACCGCGGTTTTTTCTTTCTTTCTTTCTTCCTTTCTTTCTTTTTTTTTTTATTTATTTTTTATTTATTTTTTATTTTCCGCTGTTTTGTTTCTCTCCCCGCGTGAACCCGGCGCTGCTGACCTGTTTGGCGAACACTGCAATATCTTCATTGAAAGACTCCGAGGAGCAAACATCGCCTCCCGCTACCCCGGGCTCCCTGGGCGTGCACGTAGCTAATTCACATTTCTCAAAAATCAGTGCTAAAAGAGGGAACAGGGGGTGTCTGAAAGAAAATACAATAGTCACACACACACACGCAGAAAAGAAAAATACAAAAAAAAAAAAAAAAAGAAAAAAAGAAAGAAAGGGAAAAGAAGGGAGGAAAGAAAGGGAGCAAAGAGGGGCCGCAGCCCACGCGGCGGCCGCGGGGCCCCCGGCCCGGGCTCCGCGTGCCGGGGAACGGGCCGCGACCATCGCAATAACCGCGGGACAGCCCCAGAATAAACCCGGAGCGGCTCCAGCAGCCATTTTGAATTAACTTTCCTTGTCCTTTCTCCCCCCCTCTCTCTTTTTTAAATATAATTTTTAAATCTGCGCGCACGCACTTTTTGACAGGCTGTAAATTGCCGTTCGGGGCTGCGGGACTTGGTGGCAGCGCGGGGGAGGGAAATAAAGCGCCACCAGCAAGACCCCCCCAGGCCTCCCCAAGTKAAAACCCCCGGCCAAAATAATAAATAATAATAATAATAATAAAAAGAGCCCCCCCTCTCCCACCGCAAGCGGCCAGCGGAGCGGCCCGGCGGGAGCGCGGCCGAGGTGCGCAGCCCCCGCGCAGCCCCGCGGCCCGTGCGCGGCCCTGCGCGCCGCTCCGCCAGGTGCTCCGAGTGCTCCCGGCTCGGGAAGGGGCTCCAAAGCCGGGAAAGGGCTGCGGSAGCACCCTGCTCCCTTAATAATTTAAATACATAAACAAGTGAACGCTCCCYTCCAACCATACAGATACATAGATCCGTGCAATAAGAAGCCTTTAAAATTTATTTTCCAGGGCTTCCTCCCCCCGCTGCCGCAGGGCTCCGCGCACCGCTGAGTTTTAACCAATCCCGGGCATTTCTGAGCAGCGGGCGCTGTGATTTCCCCCGCGCGGCACAAGGAGCCCGTTTGGGCAGCGAGGGCTTCTTTTCTTGCGCTTATTTATTTATTTCCTTATCCCTGCAAGAGGCCGCTCAAAGTTGCCGGCAAAGTCGGCAAGCGAAGCGCAAAAGGCGCCCGCGGCTGCTCCGCTCGAGCGGGGCCTAGGAAGGCCGGGAGCGCGGCGGGCGGGCCTCGCGCGCGCCCATCGGCA